TCTCAAATACTATACACGAGTATCTTGGATCTAGAAATGAAAATGCACACCACATCGCCGATCTACTACACTAAAATATCCTTCTGTCTTTTTTCCACCTTCTTTCTTTTGTTTGCTGATAGTGTACCAAGATCACCCTTTAAAAACACCCGCACGGAGTTTTGCAGTTTGCACGATATACTATCTAACGTCCCTATACAATATTCTAAATTGTAGGTGTCGGGTTATATTTGCTGACAATCACAAGGGAAAAAATATAATATTATTTATATGTACACATGTATTAAATATGTATGTTAAAGCTCTAAAATGAAGAAATTTGTCGACATAAAATTTCGTTCGGGGGTTCTACATCAATCATCCCCCAACCCCCTTCAAGCGACCCCTTGTTTAAAGAGGTGTCGTGGTCCAGTAAATAATTATCTGGACTTTGAACCACAAAGTGGTAGGTTCGAATCCCTATCGCAGTACTTTGGCAAGATATTAATCTACAGTTGCCACACTCCACCCAGGTGAGGTAAACGGGTACCTTCCAGGATTTAAATACTTAAAATGCTCAAGTGCTGTAAAGGCAGTCGTGCTAAAGCCATGATAATGGAGCGCCAGGAGTGGCAATGTGCAAACACTAGCGCCATACAAGACTTTATTACTATTATTATTATTATTATTATTATTTGTTATTATGATTATTTTTATTACTATCATTACAGGATGGTGGTTCATATTATTTTCATTCGAAGAGGGAAAGATAGAGGAATGGCATGATCCAGTGGAGGTCGATAAAGAGGACATATGAACTTTGGTACATAGGCTGACCAACATGTGGAGAAAAAAGGTTGGTAGTCTCCCCCCCCCCCCCCCCCTCCCTAAACAAAAACACAGCACAAACACAATGGCCCGAATTCACAAAGCAAGGTTTGAGCTCAAACCTCCTTTTGTTTCGCCAAACCTCCTTTTGTTCTTTACAAACCAGGTTTGTAAAAAACGCGTAAAACGCGTCATATGACGTACGAAAACCAAGGTTTGTCGACAAACCTCCTTTGTGAATTCGAGCCACCAACAACAGCCAAGCCCCCACGGGGAATCATGAACTTTCGCGGATTCCAGCTATTCGCCAGACCCTACCGGGCCATTCCATTTCTCATGTAGGGATCATGTTGGTCATAGACTGATCCTAAAACATAGAGTCATCTGGTATCTGGAGCTCGGCATCTTCTCTCTCTCTCTCTCTCTCTCTCTCCATCAGTCTCTGTCTCTGTCTCTCTCTCTCTCTCTACCCTTCTCTTTCCATCTCTCTCTCTCCATCAGTCCCTCTCTCTCCTTCTCTTCCTCTCTCTCTCTCTCTATCCATCTCCCTCTCTCTTTCACATAAGACCCATTCCTCTCTCAAATAAACAGCACAGTTCATCAGTTCCATTCAGTTCAGCTCAGTCACTTTGAACAAACAACTCGATAACACAAAAAAAAATTAGAATAAATTTGCGTTAAAGTTATAATAATTTGTGTTTAAGTAAACAATATTGTACAAGTGTTTTCGTAGGTGATGTACCGAAACCAGAAGTTATACCTTACACCTAATTAGGAGGTTACAAGTTAAGAAACCTGAAAGGAAAAGATAATGGTCTCACCGCCACTGCGAAGGCAAGGTAGGGCTCGCAGAGGTTTTGAGGGATATAACAATATGGAGAAAATAATCTGAAACCCTTTCTTGTTTTCATATTATAAACTTTTGTTTTCTTACTTCAGGGGACCAGCTTAGATCATCAAATCATTTTTCTTTAATATAAAATTACTGTCGGGTCGCCCTTCCCCCTCACATGACAATCCATAGTCCGCCCCAACTATGTCGATATGCGTCTTTCCCAAATTGTCTGCTTTTATTGAAAACGCCTTGATATGAGGGTGGGCTTCCCCTTCAAAATTAATTTCTAAACATGTTATGATGATGTCAACAATTTGGAATACATAAATAAAACGGCGGTACAAAATTGATCGCATAGACTTCCTCATTTCACCTACAGAACGATGTGAAAAGCCTAAGCTTTATAAACTTTTCTATTCAATTCTTTTCAAAAAAAATTGGCAATCGTCTCGTAACAGAATTTTGGGGCCATGGGTTCAAGGATAAGACCTAAGCTAATATTGACATAATTATAGGTCCCTGGATGTGATACAGTTGTTGCCCATTAAGTTAGAATAATTTGTTCATGCCTCTGTTCATGAAATGATTGGGGGAAAATGATTTATTTGTCATCGATAAAGTTTATATCTTCCCAGAGCTATATTTGGTCAATCTCTATAACTCTTTTGGTTGATCAATAAGGTTCCGAAAAGATATAAGCTATGTCTGTCAAGAATGTATCATATTGTCTCAATCGTTCAATGAAAAGAGATAAAGGCAAATTATTCTAACTCCGTTGGCAACAATGTAATTCTAAATAAAATTGTTACACTACCCTCCCTTTTTCTCAGGTAGCTGTTCATTGTGTACAAAGTACAAAACCTTTCATATTCTTCACCGTGAGTCACATGAATGTACTATGAATGTACTATGTAGGTGGGTTCACGGTGTACAAAGTACAAAACATATCTCTTTAAAATGAGTCACAGAGGTGCAGCATGGATGTGGGTGGGTTTTTTTAATCGTCTTGCCAAGTATGGCTGGTGCTCATTCTCTATAACACCCCAAAATTTAAAAAATTAAATAAAGTATCATGGAATGCCACATTTATGACGTTAATAGTTGTATGACGGGTTCCCACGAAGCTCAGAGAGACCTGTGAATTATATGCTCCCACGAATGTAGCTGTTACTTTTACATATATAATATAGACAATTACACTCACATTAAAAGGGTAATGCAAAAATGATTGTAATTGGACTGGTGTATTAATTAAAATACACCTTAAATTGCAGCCACAGAGCAGAAATAAATTGCCATTCCAAAAGATGGAAATGAATTTTTTGAAAATGTCCACTATCCCTGTAATCTCTCTTGTTCTCTATCCCCCCTCTCTCTCTCTCTCTCTCTCTTCCTCTCTCTCTCTCTCTCACTCTCTCTCTCTCTCTCTTTCCCCCACTCTCTCTTCCTCTCTCTCTCCCTCTTCTTTCTCATCCAGATGGGTTTTTTTTCGCCAATACGATTGCGGGCAAATGATCCCTTACATGTTGGGTGAAAATGTTGCAATAGTTCCCGTCATATATGGAAAGAAAACCTCTCTCGATGACGATGATTATGTAATTATACCACCAGTTGGCGCCATATACTTTTATGATGATTGTAGAATTGCATTAGTTGAGTAGTACTTAGCTTCTGTGCTGCCTGCACACACATCGCCAAGTAGGCCTAGTACTTGTTTCAATTGGTGTGCTACGTACGATATAAAGAATAGATTCCGAACAAAAGTTGCTTAAATTGACAGTTCAGATCCATTTCTTTATTCAGCTAAACTAGAATACAATATACAAAGTTGACCATTTACCTGGTAGGATCCATGATTAAACTAAGAATTAATTTATAACTCCTTGTTTAATCTTAGCACACTACCATCTCACCATCTAACATATATGGTTACACAGATACGTAAATGTCGTGGTGAGTTTTTTTATACCAGTGCATCACAGATCGTGTTTAGTTATAACCTGCTTCTTAGGTATAGGCAGAAAGAAGTAGCATTATACAATTGCCTGATTGTTTTACTCCTCTTATATTACAATCACCAAATGGTAACTAATTGGCTTTTAAATAATCTTGGCTGCATATGAATCGATAAGTCACTGAGCATAATCACAACTCAGAATAGATACTGCATTTGTATAAATGCAGAGCTTATTACAAATAATAAGTTCCGCCATAGACATCGACAAGAGTTATCGTCAAACAAAGTTGCATTTTCAACCACATTATTATTACAACTCCATACTCGTACATATATTACTACATTTATTACAACTACTCATTTATAACACATGAATCGTATAATTTTAGCATGGCTTTCACATAGCCAAGATACCTAACCAAACCGCCCCTTCAGTATGCCTTGCCAAACAGGTGAAGAAAGTAAAATGGTGTGCTTACATAAGCCTTACAATATCCTGTGGCTACTTTTGAGAAAGCAATATAATTTCAAAATTTGTTAATAACCCAAAGAATTATTCGACACCACATTTCGCCTTTGAAAGAAACTTAAAAATACAAGACTACACTTTGATTAAACTGATAATTGAACTGAACTAAGTCAAACATTTCTCAGTTGTGTCATTAATGTTTTAATGTAAAAATGATTCTTCTCTAAATCCCGAGGATTTTAGGGCTGCATGGGCAAAAGGCTTTGGTGTTCGTTTGTCTGTCTGTCTGTTTCCAAGGGAGTGTCAAATCTTTTGGATGAACTGGAGTGACCCTTTGAAGACGGGCTCCTGGCCAGCCTATAATTATTGATTCTTGCTCATACATTGTAGACAAATTATCTTTAAGATTGGAGAAAGTAATGCTTCCTCCAGTCAAGACCTTCCCTTGGTTTCTTACTGACTCGCATTAAAAGATTCTGGGAGAAATACCTAGGCTTTCTCGATACAATAGTGATTGCTTTATAAAGTGTCATGTATAAGTCCTTTACTACATACGACGCAAATCTGTACAGTTTTCTGGTTATACATGTACATGTATATGAAAACAATCGTATACTTCAAAATCCCCTATAGCGCCATCTCAGTTAAGTTGCAGCAGTATTATGAGCCCGTAATTCGCTGCTTCCCTAGCTACACTGTTTTCGCGTCGAGTCATGTGTCTGCGAATGGGAAATTAGGTATTGGGTTTCGCACTGTTGGCAAGTTGACCATGAGATGACGCTGTGCAATGAACAGTACCAGAGCCATCTATATACAAAGTTTAGCCAACTTGGTTTCCCTGGGTCACAACATGGCGTATATTCTTTTGTTTTGTGCTTGCCCAATAAAGCAGTAGTCGCCATATTGTGTACAACTCGAAAGGATTGGCCAAACTCTGTGTATAGATGGCTCTGAACAGTATGCTAGGGCAGAAAGTTCATCACTTCAGTCAAGTTCAGTGTCGCTTTAAGACGATCTTCCCTTGTGTATAGAATAACCAATGATGTCGAGAACCTCGCAGAGGGTAAGAATACTCCCTCCTATCCACATACCAAGAGAGCCACCGATGTCACCTAATTAGGGTCAGGTAAGGGATGGAAAGGGGGGCAAACAAAGATTTGGTAATCAAGCAAAAATAAAAGTGGAACAATTCAAACAAAGTTTGAAGGCATAACTGATCTGATAGCATACGCAACCACTGAACTCAGATTGAAAGTCGCTGCTCACGGTAACTTGAAAATCTTTTAACTCAAAGCTTTACTCGATTAGGAATGACATCTAAAATGCTTTGTATCTGATGGAGGGTTTAAAAAGCTTTAAAAAAAGGGAGACAGCGACCCTTATTTCAGAGGTAACAGTAAAACACTATTTGTCATGGATGTATGTACTTGCCCCTTACTCAGGAAGCAACGTTTGAGAAGTTTGTGTATAATTCATGCAGTCCTGAGTGAAATGAATATGTCCTTAATATATTATATCAAATGAAATTCAATATAATAGTGCAATTGATGCATTGATTACAGTATTTTCATTGTGAAATATACGTTTTGATTTAACCTATATCAAGTTTAAAGGGGGCCAAAATCTTCATACTCAGTTACTTTTATTGTCAAGTTTAAGATATTTGAATAAAAATCAGTGAAAATTGAACAAAATCGGGCAAGGAATAAGGAAGGTTAAAGCTTTTTGAAATGACTAGTCACTAAGAGGGCGAAATTCAACTTGATGACATCATTTGTGGACAACTCTCCATGGGTGGTATTCCGGTAGCGCGTACTAAGTTAGCGCATACTTAGTTAATTCACACTTGTATGGAGTGCCTGTTGCAAACTAATTTACCCTGTACAGATTATTTTAATCCTTCAATGAAGAGTTTTCAAAAAATTAATTTTGCGATGAAATGGGAAGAAAAAGATAATATGAGTATGAACTGAATTTCAACAAAGTTTTTGGTAGATTATCTTTGTCATGAATATTGAAGGAGAAAGATGAAACCTAGCATTCCATAGAAGTGTGAACTAAAATTCTTGTTTAGTCTGGACTTAGTCCCGGCTTAACTTATGAGAATACCACCCCATGCCTTTTGTACATCAAATTTCACAATTCCTTCGTTTTCTTCGTATTTATTTGTGTTCTTGATCCGACTTCATAACATGTGAAGTGGAATATCATTTTGCATTCTATACCTTGCTTTTAGGGGAGTAGATTATCTCAATCACAAGAAAGAAGTAAAACATGAAATTTGAAGTACAAAAGGCATGGAGAGTTGTCCACAAAATGATGTCATCAAATTGAATATCGCCCTCTAGTGACTACTGACTAGTCATTTCAAAATGCTTTAACTTCCTTATTCCTTGCCCGATTTTGTTCAAATTTTCAATGATTTTATTCAAATATCTTAAACTTTATAATAAAAGTAACTTAATATGAAGGTTTTGGTTCCCTTTAATAGCAGAATTTATTATAAAAATAATAATAAACAAATCAAACAACCTGATTATATCTTTAAAAGCTATTTTAAGCTGAGTGTTACAGACTAACAAAGAAGACTATAAAACCCATAAGCTTCTTGTTGAGTGTTTGTTTGCCGACTCAGTTCATTAAAGAATATGTTGATGAGACACATACTGTTGCTGTAATAAAGAATAGAGGTAATACAAAACGGAAAGATTTTAATTCGTAATAATAAAAACAAACGGTTATTGTATAGTGCATTACCTTTCAGTCGCGATGCACTATGGAGAATAAGGAAGAGGTAGAATTAGGCAATAATTTCAAGATACCATTCAAATGAGATACCAACTAAATTTAGATCTAAGGAAAACTGCTGGTGAACGGATGAGTCATCAGTCTTATTCAGTCTGTATTTGAATTGATCAACTGTGACTGCCTCACCACAATACCAGGTATTCTGTTCCATAATTCAGCTGCTGCTACCTAGAATGAACGAGCTCCATATTACTTAAACATATAAGGCCATGTAAAAAAAATATTCATGTTTGGCGTCCCCGCCCGCTTCCTTTTTTTGGGGTCGCCTTCTTTTTTTTCTTCTTTTTTAAGAAAAAAAACATGACCTGCTAAAATGATCTATTTCTGATTTTTTTTTTTAAATGCCGGCGGCCATCTTGAAAAATAGCCAACTGTCAGGGAAAATGTACCGAGCGGCCATTTTGAGAAAAAAAAGGGCCTCCTCCTTCCTATTTTTTAAAAAGGCAGGACGCTAAACATTTTTTTTTAAATTTTAACTCTGAGCGTAGATTTCTGGTTGGGGTAAACTTTCTATTGCTCGATTTCCGGAAGAGGCCGAGTTTCGTAAACAATTGCTAGATACAAATGTTTTTTCTAGTAGTCATTAGTCTGCCGGTTGGGGTAAGAGGATAAAATGTTACGTTAGAATAGAAGAATACATTTAAAAACATGATTATAGACCTATATATTTGTTATCAAACTATTAATGGATCTCCTTCCTATAGGACTTCATTGTTTGGATAAATATTAAGAATAAAGATAGAAATAAGATATTCATAATAATAATAATAATACCAATAATTATAATAATAATAATAATTACAATAAGTATAACAAATTATTGTTATAGTAACAATAATAATAATAATAATGCTACTAAAAGTAGCAGTAGTGGTAGTAGTAGTAGCAGTAGAAGTGATATATGAATGTTTTTATAACAACAATGCGAAATTTATGGGCTTCATGGCAGTTAACGTAAGGTTCTCGAGAGAAGAAAAGTGTGAACAAATTAGATAAAACACATTTTCCTGAATCTTCAAAATATGTCAAAACTTCGGTCCAGTGGGCATTTCCTCAACTAGGACGTCTGGAATAGACCATTTTCGTAATGTAACCTAATACATACGTCTGTGTGAAGCGCCTCGATAGGAATCATTTCATTCACCTGTTACGAATAACTGCATTTCAATAGTCAACATGCGAACTGCTTACTTTACTAGTAGTTGGTGCCAGGTAGGTGCCAGGAGGCACCTCACAAAGACATATGCATTGAAATACGAAAACGGTCTATTGGATATCGATCTTCTTTTTTGTTTGTTGCATTATTTTGTGTGTTTCACAGACGAAAAATTGGTCCTATAAGTACTGACTCCGGTCTCAAACTACAAGCAGTAGCAATCCTTACCTGAAATAGGCAGCATTAAGAGATCTATTCCGCCGTTCAGTCAGTGTTTCTGCAAGAAATTTACTGTAAAAGTCTGACGGAAACTTGGCTTGTGATACCGTGGTAGCATACGTAACAACGTCACATGGTCGGGGGCATGGGCAAGCAGCAGTGGCCTTCGAATTGAAGTCCTCTATAGCACAGAAACAAAAATGACAGGTTTTGGAGAAAGAATGAGCTGTGAATAGAATATGGTTTCTTTCAGGTCATTACGTCATCAATGCTCATTTAGATGATCTTCATATTTCGTTCTGTCCTCTGCACCCCAACAGTGGAATGATCCTGTCACGACATTTTCGTCATTCTTCTTCATTGGGTGCCTTTGATCTCAAAGTGTTCTTTAAACAAATCTTTGTTTTTGTCTTCTTTGAAATGCTTTCAAAATTCTTCTTAGATCATTGATTGTTATGCCTATAATAACACTATAATAACACTAATAATATGCTAATTAGTTTGAACACTTCAAAGTACTGTGAGACCTTACATGTAAAAGGGCTTTACAAAATAATGATTATATTATAAATAAGTGTATTTATATAAATGGATATGCTTAATATTTTTTTTTTCTTAATCTCCTCTTGGTTTGGGTCTGGGTTTTTTCCGTATAAAAATATATAATTACATACAAAACGTGTATGAACATAAACACTTATGATAGTTACTTGAACAATAGCATGGATTGATCGCTCTATTCAGATATTCAGAGCCATTGAATAGGTGAGGGGTGGTCATTTCATCCCATCATAATATTTCCCGGGGACTATTTCGAGATCATGCAACAGTCATGCATTACATCTTCGATAAACAGAATATACATCCGGGGTTTTATTTTTTTTTTAAATTGCCGCCATCACATCCCCAGCATAGGCATGAAGAATTCGGTTTATACAAGAATGGCTCATTTACTATAATTTCAAAATAACGTTTGTATAGTATAAGGGTATTCAAGTAAAGCTTCGTGGCTGAATCGCAAATTTATTTCATTAAACACAGCTAGTGGTCAGACCACTGTCTTTAAGGAAATACATTTGCTTTTTTTATTGGAACTTGTAAGATATCCGTTACTATATTTTCTGCAATTTTCAGCATTTGTATACCTGGATCCTCTTTTTATAGATCGTTATTAATTACATGGCAATTAAGCATGTTGAGCAACCTGTTCATATGATGATACCCTTTAAAAAAAATCACCATTACAGCTCGGTGGGAGGAGGGAAGTTGAACACGCCAGGATGTACTTACCCATTGCATTATTCATGCACACTATCTCTAGTGGATTGCATTCTCTGTCAGGACCTGGGTAATATTCAAATAGATTACAGCTGTTATTTCTATGTATGCTAATGCCATAAGTTGTCTTCATAAACAAAGCTTTTTATACTATAAACTGTATATATATTGTGTAACTTAATCAAGCATTCTTAATTCCGTCGTCAATACGTTATATGATTATGATAACCTTTGACATTCGTACCGTGTCCCAAGGGGCGGATTCAGCCGACGACAAGAGGGGGAATATTACTACCCTCCTCCAATCTTTGTATTTGGTATGACTCGGCCGGGGTTCGAACCCACGACCTCCCGTTCATGAGACGGGCGCTCTAACCACTGAGTCACCACACCCGCTACTGGGTTCTTTTACAACGGTTCTAACCCTATTTGACAATAGCGCATCATAAGTAGAAGGACAAATGATTTTTTATTAAGCCTTTACACAAGTAATAAGCCCCAAAGCTGAACAATAATACGAGTATGTATTCACTGTTGTTGTACCATCAGTTATATAGGGTTCAGAATATTTCATACATCCCATAATGTGTTCAGTTCCTCACTTGTTCAGTACTTGTATAAGCAAGCGTAGCCGGACACCTACCCCCTGATCATTCAACCTCCCGGATAACCCCTAGTCAACTATCCCCTAGGACAACTACCCCTAGGACAACCACCATCTAAGACGACTACCCCCAGGACAACCCCCCGGACAACTATCCCCCAGACAACTATACCCCGGACAACTACCCACCAGACAACTACCCCATAGGATAGTTGTCCGGTGTATTTGTCCTAAAGGATCGTCGGGGTAGTTGACTAGGGGTGGTTATCCGGGGGTGGACGTCCAGGGGTTAGGTGTCCTAGAATCATCAGCAAGGTACTATACATCTTTGTTTAATTACAATCGGATTGTGCGATGACTATCGGTACCAGACAAATCCGTACCAGGGGATTAGTAGTCCTGTGCAATATCCATTAGAATCTAGACTAAATACCACTCTTCTGTACATAATTTATATAGAAACGTCGCATCGGATGATTATCCATTCAGTTTGTATACCTCTGTCCAATCCCTCTTGAACATGTTCAATAATATCGTAAAAGATGACGATGTATCACGTAGAACCATAACATTTGGTGTTTTTGTTATTAAACTCAAAACGTTTAAATAAACTAAAGGCTTCATCTCTGGTGATGATTTTCATGTCTTTTCATGAAATTCGAATCAATTTTGGTCCGCTTTTATAAAGAAAAGCTACCTGTAAGCATTGTAGTTGCAGAGAACGACTGATGGACAGTCTAGCAGATCAACATATTCCACATCCAAAAGGGTGTTAACAGGTTTCTTTGAATACCTGACGCATTGGTTTCCTATTTGAGATACCATCACAAAAAATATATGGCACGTAAAAAGCATGTATGAAGATACACAGTAAATAATTTAAATCAACACTGTAATAAATATCAAACATCTGTTTATCATCAATTTCATTTTTAAATCGTTTCATCGACATATTTTTAGTTAGGATTCTTCTGATGGAAAAGATATTTTCCATTTGATAAAGTGGGTACGTGCTTTACCAGTATTACAGGATACCATGAACATACATGAATAACAATAATAATGAAAATATAAATCAATAATAATGATATAGATGATGATAATTATGACAGTAATAATGATAATGATAATAATAATAACATTAATAATAATAATAATAATGATATTAAAAATGATAACAATAATAATATTAATAATAATGATAATGATAATAATAAATAAAACAATAAATGAAAAATATATCTGAATTCAAACACGAAACTTCTGTATTCATTTCAAAATCTAAACTAATAATGATCATGGATAGTATCCCTTAGCATAAATTAGAATTCATGTTTTTTCGACTTGTCATTTGCATCTAAGTTTGGACATGTGTCCTTTATTGACTAAACTATAGCAACATTATACTGCATTCTTCTAGGTACTAGTTCAAAAATGTTGGGGTACCCCCTACCTCATTCCTAGTTCCGTGTAAATCACACCACACTTTTAATGTGAGAACAATGCCTTTAGTTATTTGAGGACTGTTTAGGGGGATTATATGTTAAATAATTGTTACAAGGTCTAAATTAGTGCGACTTACCTCCTTATTTTTATTTTATCGCCATTGAATATAAACTTGATCCCTGCCACCCCTATGGCATGATGTAACGATGAAGATAGCAGGTACCATCTGGACTTCTTGATCTCAGGTGATTCCACCTGGTGAGCATTCTCAGCCAATGAAGCACCTGCCAAGCCAAAATCAACTGACTGCGCAACCGATGCGCCGATGTTCGGTGGAAACGGTTTATTTAATCCTTCCGCCATCACCTTTGAAGATCGAGTTCATTTAAATATGGCAATACTATTTTTGGCGTTTGGCTCTTGCTCTTTACGTTTTTATATGCATTCTATCCAATCCAATCCAAAAGATATTTGATGTAGCGCCTTTTCCTTGCAGTTACAAAGCGCTGCTTACACGCTCCACAATAGTTGGGCCACTTAAAAAAAACAAAAGTTAGACACTTCGCAGAGATCAGTCAAGTATATATAGGCTGGTAATAAAGTAATTTTTATCAACCTGAATTTCCCAGTTTCACTTTTCGAAGGCTTTCCGATGCTCTTTGAGTTCATATACGTGAATAAAGAGGAAGAGTAACTCCTATGTAGATGCGTATTATCGGAAAAGAGTTATGTGACACCTTCAAAATTATTTACCTATGTGACAGTTTCGATGTCTAAATCTAGACACCTCTCTCAGATGTGTTCATTAATTTGAATGAAACATACGTAGATTCTAACAAAAATTCCATAGATTTGAAAACTAGAAAAGGGAATATAAACCAGAGATATACCTGACTGCACTAAAACCGTCGAATTTGAACGCAAGACAAATTAATTTGAATGTCAAACTCGCGAATTTGGCCGGGAAATCCTATAATTTTATTAAATCTGCGTTTTCATGAAAAGAAAATTAAATGCCAGACATTCAACCAACCATTTGACAATGATAAACTGAGTTTCTTATTCATGGTTTTAAATCTATCAGTGCGCGACATTTTTTCAGTTCACGGTTAAGTGGTTTAAAAGAGGGATATCGCCAATGGATGCCTTGTTTTCGTTCAAGTACACCCCTTTATTTCTCTAGATGTTCTGTTCCTCATACCTGGGAGTCCCTCTTCACAGGATACATTGCATCGGATTCCGTATCCCGAGCTATTTGGGACCTGCTATGGCAAACCTAACACTTTAAGGGGTAATGGAAAACCAAAGTTTTATTATCACTGGATAAAGTAAGAAATCACCTTCAGTATGATACCTTATAGAAAGGAAGTGATTGCAATTATTGCGTTTTTCGTGCTTTTAATCACCGACAGTTAATTACGAGGTATTAAAGTTTAAAGTTAAGAATTCGGTTTCATTTTCACACCAAAACCCATGTACACGTTCACTACATTTTTATTTAAGACCGCCATATATAGCCATATTTGACATCTTCGTGCTTTTCTCTTTTTTTCGGTACCAATACCAAATATGCCAGGGATCAACAAATAATTGGTAAAATTAAGCGGGAAAACAAAAGGAAACTTTATTTCTTTTTGACCGCATTATTTCAACTAATTTCGTCCAACGAGGGGGTGTATTCATAGATTTAAATTATGAGACCATTAATAAATCTTATGTTGGTCCCTGAAGTAAAAAAATCCCTGTTCGGAGACTCCTACAGCACAATGATTTTTGCAGTAGCGGATCACAATAGGGACTTTTAGATTTGCACGTCGACATAGTGGACTGCTACGTATGACGTCCTTATACGGCAGTCCCTTTTAGTGTACATCGTGAAACCATTATCGTTTCATCTAGCTTGGGGTTGCCAGTCATGCCAGTTGCCAGGAGTCATGAGCAAACGAAAGCAAGAAAATATTTTCCCCCCCCCCAAAAAAAAAAAAAAAAAAAAAAAATTGACAAAAGATCTGGAGACCTAGACAACGATCAAGTAAATAAACATAGCTGTGACTAGCAGGATTATCAGTTTGTGCTCCATTTCTCAAAAGAATTATGATGAATGATATACAAAAGATATCACGCATGATAAACATGTATAACAATAGGCATTAAAATCGAGATTTTAAAGAAATTATTTGTACAAGAATTCCGCAATATACCCACTGATTTCACGGGCACGTAGGACACGCAGTAATATGCATTATTCTGTTTACCTTAAGGCTTCCCGTGCAGTGAAGATTTTTTTCTTCTTCTATGTATAGTGAAAGCATCGATTTGTTAAATGTACGCTTATAAATTATTAACAACCTCACAATAATCGCGGGCGCAAGATGGACGCCCCTTCCCTTTCTCCTCCGGGAACTATTGGCTACTAGCTCGCGGTTGCATGTCATTTTTTCGCGACTTTACCCATCTTTTAACATCCAAAAATGATTTGTGGCATTTTATGTCACATGACCCTTTATGACATTTGTCTTCCTGAAAAAGTAGAATTAGTGGATTTTACGGAATATATATAGTTTCTGCCTAGATCAATTGCATACGTAAGGAATACGAAAATGATTTCAGTCGTAGTATCCAAAAAGTAACTTACGAGATTTTTGCCCCAAAACTGCTTTTCATTCGTTTCCTTTCTTCTATCTCTTAGAAATATGTTATATTTTCCATTGCGATCTACATTTTTTACCATTTTGACATTAAATCCGAATTTGTTGCATATTAGTCGCCAGAATGCCGTATATGCTGAATGAATGAACATACATTACACAAGTACAACTTACTATAGGCATGATAGGGAATCTTTTGCCATAGCTCTGATTACGGTTGAAAGGTTGAACATTTTGAAAGGTTGACAAAGTTTAAAGGTTTATTTTATCTCGTAAACGGCCCAACATGGGGCATAGAAGTTATACAGATAAACTATACGAGAATATTTTACAACTGAGACAGGGAAGAAAAACAAAAACATATATGTCTCTTACTAAAGAGAGGTTCTTTGGTAGCAAACTAAACGCATAATAAATTGAAGGCAAGGTTTCAACGAATGAACAACGACCCCAAAAATAGACTTAAGTAAAACTATAAACCTTATATAACACATATTGTCAGCGCTAACAGCACGTATACTAATGCTATAACAAATTTAAAATATATACAACCTATTATATATATATATATATAGAGAGAGAGAGAGAGAGAGAGAGAGAGAGAGAAAGAGATATACATGTGCATATAGAAACCAAGGGTCTAATGCTTTGGAATTTTTTTTTTTTTTAATTCTAAAATTCGACGTATTGATTTTACAAGAATTTAAAAAGATTCTTTAACTGTTTAACACAAGTTATATTGAACAACTGGTGAAATTTGATGTTAGGTCTACTGTGATAATATTTCTTAACATAAATGTACTACTTATTACGAATGTTATCAAATGCTGGATAAAAGAGAAAATAATGGAATTCATCACCTTATACGTAACTTCGGGATCACATAAGGAACACAATTCTAGAGGCTGACTGACTAGGCAAATAACGACATTGAGTGATGGGCAGCTTACTATTACAACATCGATTTTTACAAAAATAGATGTTCTATCACTAAAATCCAACTTTAACAGATATTTTTCCATACCAAATTCCTGTTTAAAAATCCTGTAACTGAAACATAAACATTTTATACTAACTTCTTCATTCCTGTTTTGCAAATCAATGTCATTTAATCTACGATCCATAGATGATTTAACACACTCTATGTTTAAGGAGGTATTTCTACCCATAAATTAGAGATTCTGCTCACTTTTAATTTTATAATTCGATTCAAAATCACAATTATCGTATAGTTTGCGTAACAAATTGTAAATAGTACACGAGAGTTTAGATTTTCCATGAGTAACTCGTGCCGAAAGATTTATCATACGCCTCTCCACTTTATAAGCCAAAGCAAATCTATCAACTTCGTCATATACATATACAACTTTCAGTGCCACGGCTCAATTTATGAAGGGTTTTGAGCAATTTCCTACAAAATACTTCAATACCGTTTACAGAAAGTAATTTCCAAAGCTCATAGTTCTGATGATATGCAGCAGCTAAGGCAGACTACAACTCTTCAGCGGATTCAGCCATTATCATGATGTCATCAGCGGTCAGTGACACATAGGGCCTGAGCAGGCGCGGATACAGGATTTCTTAGGGGAGGGGGCCCAACTTTTTTTTTTTTTTGCTCCCGAAAATTAGAAAATCGTGCCGGCCAAAAAGTCGCTCTGTGGGGGTGGGGGGGGGTGTGGGTAGTGAGCACAATAAAAAAAAATTAGTCCTCGAAAATTTATAAATTTGCCCCACTTGAGCGCCAGGGGGGGGGGGGGCAACCCCCCGAAAAAGGTTAAGTTCACGTGTTTTTACATGATTTTTTTTTCTCAAGGGGGGGGGGGGGGGGCCGGGCCCCCCGGCCCCCCGGCCCCCCTCCCCCCCCCCCCCCCTGGATCCGCCACTGGGTCAGAGAAACACTTCAATATCATCGTCACTTATCTCATAATATGTCATTAAAAAGCATTTCCTATAAACGATACTTTCAGGCTCTTATTCCTTGACAGTTTTTGTGTTTTCCTTAGAATGACCATCATTACATTCCCTGCCATACTTTTTCTTTCATAACAAAAGCCAATAATTCCCATGGGCTAATTAAATTGATTCCTACGACAATCCGATGTTTGTTTTAATAAGGAGGAGGGATTCATTTTTCCTTTACATACACATGTCGTTGGGCCGATTTTGCACACATTTTGTTCCTTCATTCTCATTTTCTTTTGCACTAATGTACGCAGGAACAAAACAAGGTAAAATTGCAATTTATACATATATCTTTTTTTCTTCAGAATCTCATTGTCTAGGTATCAGATTCTTAATCATTTCATTTCAAATTCCATATCAAATTCCATATCAAATAATAAGAAAAATAGTAATAATAGATTGATGCGGACCGAACGAGGGGAGGCTGGAGAGACGAGAAACTAGAAATTAAGTTGATTTGGCCTAGCCTTACCCTAAACCCCCATCCCTCACATTGCCATATGTTGTACCAAACTTCCAAACTTCCACAAATAACATATATATATATATATATAATGGACACCTAGAACAGTCAAACACGCATGCCCAACATGCCTTGCATGGGAAGTATATTATTGATACAAATTGAAATGCACGAAAATATTAGCATACAATGCTTATACACCGTCCTGCTTAACTCATACCCATATGACCTTTCAAACCAATATACTTCCGGTATGCTATCATTTATGACAAGTTACACTATATATGAATAAAAACTATGGTTGACTGTAGTGGAACCATGAACTTTAGGAGAATGTACTGAATGAGAAATAACAAGAATTAAAACATAATGAATAGTACAAATGGGTAATCATATTTGAAATCTCCCCAATTAGCAATTCGGCCATATAGGCCTTTAAGTAACCTACATAATTTATGTCTGCAAATATAGCGCCGTGGCTAGGATTCGGATTTTAGACCTTAATTATCCTAGCCGGTAACTTTTCCACAAGACCACGATACTTCCTAACAAGAACAGTCGCATGATCACTGATGATTAGACTTCAAGAGGACACAAAATGTTACATAACGTTTGCTTAAATTCCCCAATAAATTGGAAATGGCAAGTAGCGATTCCACATAGCCTTTCAAACGCAATACTATAATATTTTGACAAAAAACAAGTTGTCAAAGACTTTGGAGAAATCATCTCAAAGGTAATTTCGATACGTTTTCTTTTTTTCCAATGAATTACATGGTGGGAATATGTAATTCGTAGTTGTAATGTTTGTGCATTGTGATAGGTGATGGGCAAGGCTTTTGAAATCACTTAATTTTGTTTTCTCGAAAGTCTTTGCTATCGTGTTTTACTAAGATTCTTGTATACATGAAATAATTGTTTAGTGATACAAAGATAAAATGGATTAGTCGATGGTCATATATAAAATTATGACTCTTCCCATGGAGGAAATAGATTGAAAACATGCTCATGTCATATCGGACATATTTCTTTTGATAATAGTGTTCGCATGGTTATAATATGGTAAATATTCATTGTCTGATTTACCTTATTTTCCTTCTTTAATATTCTTCTTTTCTTTCTTTGTATCCCTTTCTTACCTTTTCTCCCTTTCTTCTTTCAAACCTTGTATTTGTGTTTGTTTTTCATTTTGTTTGACTATAATTTTTTCAATTTCGCGTTAATTGTATGTATACATCTTCTATTTGGAGCGGCAAAGGCGCGACATGGAACTAATGCCCTTGTGACCCGAAACAGACGTCATGCTAAACGTGTTCGTTAATATATTTTCACGTATTCCATCATGAATAATATGAAGTATTAGCCCTGTATTGTTAATAATAAAACATGACCTTGTATTTCCACTAATCTACTTTTATATACTTATTTGTAATTAATACACAATTTCCTATACTCCTATTTCCTTTATTAATAATCGTGATTGTTAATAAAGTTATATTGAAACTAGTTTTCTGTGATTGTTGATCAATGTTGATACAGGGCATCTTGGTCGAGCTGTTTGTTTAGCCTTACAATTAGATTTAATTTTGAATAACAAAAACGTACTATGGCACATACAAAATTATCGACCTGTGTGATAGTTTCGCTGTCTAAGTCTAAAGTTGTGTGTAGCTGACTAAAGTTTGCAGCCAGTTCTTCGATCGCCAAAAATGACGTTTTGGCGATAGCCAATGGGTAGGCCTATCATAATATGCATGCCCCCTGGTAGCTTATTACAGTCTACAAGTACTCGTGTGAGAAAGGTGTCTGAACTTAAACATCGAAATTGTCAAACAAATAGATAATTTCGGATGTGACATAAGATCATTTCTAAACCATCCCCATTAATATTTGCAGAAAAAACGTGGGGTAAACAGATGACAGTCACAGTGACTTCACACCAGAAAGACAGCCAGGAGTGCAGGGATGAGAAGCAGAGTGTCATGAAGAGTAGATGAGACGGCATTCCCTGTATCGTCACCTACAAAACGGAGATAAAAATATATAATAACTCGTGTGAGTATTTTTTATATACTTCAGGTAAATAACACATATTTTTTAAGTCAAAGATATGATAATAATAAGACATTATAATGCAAACATTGTATTGGAAAATGAACCTAAATTTACATGTCAGTTTTGTTATTATTATTATTTGTTATTATTGTTGTGTTTTCTTTGCATCCTTGAATGTATATATTGTTTATGCTGCTTGTCAGTGGCGTAATTAGCAAATCTGCATCCACCACTCTTACATGCAGGCCCCGCTGAACGTTTTTCAAAGTGGGGACAGGGGGCGGAGCCCCCGAAGCTCAAGGTGCATTTTCAGCAACAGATGGCAGTATACGTAAATCTGAAGTATCGTCAGGGGCGGCGATCCCGGAAAAATCAGTCTATTGGTACTTACTGGCTCTATAGCTCTTAAGTCAATTCGACAACTAATAAACGTTATTTTCCCACTTTAAGACATTTTCAAGCCGCCCTTTTTTTAGGGAAGTTCTAAATTAGTATTATCTTTGAAATGCCGTTGGAATTTGACCTTTTCATTTTTGTTGGCCTACAAATAGGACATAGTACCTTTAAAGCTAATTTTAAGAGGAGGTTCCTTATGCAACTGACAAGCCGGGAGTGACATCACCACTCTGAATAGTGGGAGAATCAACGTTTTTAAAAGCTCCTTAAATTATATAGGTGGGATGCATTTTCACTAAAATAAGAATACATCTCTGGTGCGGTTCGCTCGAAACCTCGTTAATTCGTGTAGGTCAATTTTCAAATTTGCTTACCAGTTCGACCGTACACTGTCGGGTTATCATCTTGACCACTCCTCTGCAATCCGAAGGAATCCATGGCGTTCATTACAGATCCAACTCCAAATGAATAGTTGGTAGCAGGAGAGAGACCAGTCAACGTCACCTCGTTATCACTGACGTCACCACGCTGTTTAGTTGTAGTGGGTAATCTCTCATTGGTTGAATTATTAATGACGTAGAACTCGTATGCGTCATGTGGGCTGGTCGGAGGGGTCCAGGAGAGGGTCGCTTCAGTCGTACCAGTTTGTTTAAGAGAAACGTTAACTGGACTCTCGGGTGCTACAAAACGAAAATAAATTCATTTGAAAATCGTAGAGTGAGATTTGCTTCGGTCGTATTCGTTACTTTAAAGTTGGGGTGAAATCCAAATAGAAAAATGATTTCTGTTGATGTGCAGGGCTGTATTACAACTCATATTTTGTTATTCAAACATTTAAATATATTTCATAGAGACGTTGGAACGTAGCTTCGCCCCCCCCCCCCCCCCCCCTCGACCCCACTCAGTGTTATTCAGGGTACGCATAATGCATGTGTCCCTCCTTTTGAAAACGGAGCTTAGCAGGTCTGAGAAAATTATTTTCTATGAAATATATTTAGATGTTTGAATAACAAAATATGAGTTGTATGCAGCCCTGCACATCAACAGGAACCAATTTATATTTGGATTTCACCCGACCATTAAGCATAATACTCACTGGACTCACGGGTGTTGAACCAAAATAAAATTATTTTTTTGTAATGAGATAACGGGTGGTGGCCTGTGGGTAACCATACAATTTGACGAGTAATGTTACTTATAATACGACATAAAATGGTTTTGTTCAAAACTGCGGATGAGAATGAGGATGGACAATTCTAAACAATTGATAAATGCTTTGAAAGGAAATGATAAATACTATATGTAAAAAAGAATTGTTGGCAATTCTCATATATCTAGGAGAAAAAAAGTTTAACCCGGCGTTTATGTTTCAACTCACTTTTAAAAATTGATTTTATAATTGAATGTTAATGTTAAGATAAAAACGTGTCAAGTTATTGTCGTTTACCGCTTCTTATTTGCGTTGATGCCACGTCCATGACTGGACTACCACCTCTTATAGTCGCATTAAACACTGTTCCTGGAAGTAGAATGGTCAGTCCGACCTCAGCTTCAAAGATACCCCCTGTATTCTCAATGGCATCACTTGGTTCAGCCTCGATGTCATAGAAGAAGACTCCAGCGACAGGTTTCCATTGGATAAAAGCCGATGATGACGTAACATCTGACACAAATATGTCTCCTTCAGCAATGGCCTCTGGGGAGTAACCAAGAATATACAGCATGTATACTAACTGACTATCTTTTTACATACTGTACATATATCTAACATTTTGCTGTTACACATTGTGTGTTCGGATAAGATTGTAAACACGATTTCACTACGAACATGATGAATGGCAGAAGGGGAAAAATACGAAGGACATTGACATGAAGAAATAAAAACAACAGGATTCTTATCAAATTATGAAGTAAATATATATAAATATTTATTAAAGGTAAAGACCAGTATTGGAAACGCCCCAATTTCAAAAAATGAAATGGAAGCTCTCATTACCAATCATGTGAAAGAATATGTTTTGACTAATACATGATGATAAAAAATTTGCCTGGAAACCGCCTACTAATTCATATATTTGGTAAATTTATTTCTCTCATGGTCTGTGAGAGATATAGGATAGTCCCATATACATCTTTCTGTGTATAGTGCTTGTAACTTTACGAAGAATGGGCCAAATTTCTTATCATTTTGATGATTCCAGAACCTTGCAGATGCTAGATGCTAGATGATCAACCTTTTCTGATCGATTCCACAACGTTTCTTTCACAATGCAATCGTATGACCATAACTGGTCTTTACCTTTAATGTTTTAGTTTTAGTGTTTTTTTGTTTGGTTTTGGGTCTTTGTGCGGGGTTTGGGACTTTCCTTCGGGGGGACCGGATGTTATCTTATTAAAATTACTTGCTTCAAAAGTGCACAATTGTGTTACCTGTAGTAACGGTTTTATTCAATGAACGTCCAGCGCCCTCAGTAGTCCATGGTATGACAACTATTGTGTATTGTTCTTCAGGTCTGAGTCCGGTTATCAGATGTGTCGTGTCGATGGTGTTGGTTGGATATCCACCCACGCTTCTTTGGGATGATTTGATAACATCCACGGTGTAGTAGTCCCATGATGACCCTGCTGCTGTCGCCCAAGAAATGTTGATGTAGGACGGACTATTCTGAACAGTGATAGATTCTATTCCTGATCCATGCTGTGAAATTATGATAATCAGTTGAAGAAAAGAAAATTAATTACATTAATACCCCCCCCCCCCCCACTCAGTGTTATTTAGGGTACGCATATGTGTGTTCCCTCCTCATGATTATAACGTATCATTTTTCCATGTCGAATGGATATCCACGCTCAAACATGAACATAGTAGGGATATCCTCTCAAAATAGTAATACAGATAACTCGTTTAGAATGATTTCACTATAGTTTAAAATGAATTCCACTCCAAAACATTTGGATCCGCTCCTAATAGAGTGGATTTCCACTATTCTACATTAGGAAAGTGCTCGTTTTCAAAGAAGATGGTTTGGCAAATAAAACTTAGTTTTGCTGGAAATAAAGAGTACTGTAAGTCTGGGTTTTTCTGTGTACTTTTACTTTCCATTAGCTAGAACTGAAAGCATGTAACCTATATTCAAATTAAAGTTTTATCTTCGTTTGCTGTCCAACATGGCTGCCTTAGATAAAGACAGGCCAATTAGTCCCCGACAGTGTAAAACAATTATTGATGTACAATAAATTAACAAATGGGCATTACAGTCAGCAACTTAATTATTCATACCTCTTATACATTTCTTTTTTATGTGTGTGTGTGTTTCGTAACTTAGGAATGAAAGGTGGGCTAGTTAAATTAGGGTTTTTCTTGAATACTTGAATGTAAGCTTTTATATGTCACATTCTCAAGAAACAAAATCAAGAAAACTCTATTTTTCACACGCTTTAAAAATAACAAACTTGGTAAGGGTGTGAAGTGAATTTTAACCCCTGGCAGTACTTTGGATTCAGCAGCCCCCGCCGCTTCATATTCTTGTGTGCGCTCTAACTGCCACATTCCTTCACGGATTTCTTTCAAATTTGTATGGAGGTGTATCTTGGTATAATTTTCACATCTTTAACTGTTGGTGATGCCGCCCCCATAGTCCGGGAGCCAGGGGGGTCAACCTAGCTGGAAAGGAAACCAATTTTCATGTGCACGGATGTAAAGATCGCATAGCCCCATAACGAATTGACCGTATGGCATGTCCTAAATGGTGGGTGTGGCCAGAGGGAGGCCCCAAAGGGAGCAAAAAACCTTACCTGACGTAAGTGTATCAAATTAGTTTGGCGAGTATGAATTGAAGAATTAAAAACAAAGATATCGCTATTAAAATGTATAATAATAATAATAATAATAGCTAGTTCTTATATAGCGCTTTTCAGGACCGAAGGTCCTCTCAAAGCGCCTTACAGATATTATTACCCCGGTCATCGGATTCAGGCTTACCCGCACACAATGTAGGCACATTCTCCACTCCCTGGGGAGCATTCCAGTCAGGCGTCATTTTTGCAAGCGCATACTTGCTAATCTAAGCAAGGGAACTCAAGGTTATCAAGTCCTTTAATGGTAATATATTTGACTGTGAAAATAGAGGATTTGCATGACTATTGAAGGGAGCATTAAAGATAATTCATATTGCTTTCTTTTGTCAAATGCATGATTTATCTAAATGAGTTTTAAAGGTGTGACGCCAAACAATATTACAGTAATTGAAATGGGGGAGTATAATGCTATTGTAGATAGTGGTCAGAATGGACTGTGGTACAAAAAGTCTTAATTTGGAGAGAACAACAATAGATCTTGATATGTTTGATGTGGCTTCCAAGAAAGATACTCATTTAAAATTATACCTAAAAACTGCATATTATCACCCTTTGCTATGACATTTCCAACAATAATGAGATTTGAGAGAAATATATTAACACATTTAGTAATTAGAACGGAGAATATTCAAGGTAAAATTTCTGTAATATCATAATATCATCTCTTCTTTCATTCGAATCATTATCATTATCATCATCATCATCATCATCATCTTCATCATCTTCATCATCATCTGCATTGTCAATATCACCGTCATTAAAATTCGTATATTCAACTACATATCCGTTCTGCTTTTAATATGTTTCATGACTTTTGTCTCGGGCTGTCGTATTATCAAGCAATCTGCTTAAAATGAGAGTCCTTCTTCCGCAAATAGTGATATAATGTTTGAGGAAATTTAGCAGTCATGACAGCTTATTATATCATTTTTGAAAATAACAATTGTTATATATATTTGCTTATTTATGATTCGTTGTCAGAAAAATACTAGTGGCGATCTATACGTCATCATTTTCTTTCAGGGAGGGGAGAAGGGATCTTTGTCCCACCTTCGAACTTAAAGGGAAAGTCCACCCCCAAAATAAGTTTGTTTCAATAGAGGCAGAATAATAAGAAAATCAGGTGAGTGAAAGTTTGAGCAAATTCTGAATGAAAATAAGAAAGTTATGAATTATTGAAGTTGTGATCAATCAAATACAAATTGGCAACTCTGTGACTTATTATACGAGCTCTCCTCATTTGCTTTGTGCATAATATTCCATAAAACCATGTTTTCTTCGTTATTGATGACGGAATATATATTTGTTCCTTGCAGGGGGAGTATAGAAACATATTTGCAATTATTATATTTAGGGTGCATGTATGATTGAAATTTTTCTTGAGGGAAAAAGAAAATTTTATATTTTTTTAGTACTGAGCAAATGGAAGTTGAGCTCGCATGATACGTCATAGAGTTGCCAATTTGTGTTTGCTTGATCACAACTTAAAAAATCCTAACTTCCTTATTTTTAATCGGAATTTGCTCAAACTTTCACTGACTTGTTTCTCTCATTTTTCTACTCCTATTAAAACTAACTTAATTTCAGGGTGGACTTCCCCTTTAAGGATGACACAAAAATCGCTGTCACTCCCGGGGGATACGTTCGCCTTGCACGGCAATGCATTTTGCGATATTTCTAGTTTAATGTATTTTCACCGGCCAACTTTGGGTAATTTTCAAGTTCAAGTTTATTTGTTTCACATTTTACAAAACAGAACTTCAAATAAATGACAAAATTAGAACATAATATGAAATATACTCAAAGTATGACATTATATAATCAAGTCTCTGTAAAGACGTCGAAATTAATCGTATTAAAGTCACACTGTCCTACTTGTAGCTACTTGCTCCCTCTATACAACAAAAATCCCTAATCGGTGACCATTGGTCCTCCATGATCCTCTTTGTCTTATGTTAATTGAGAGCTGAGTTGATAAAGCATTAGGTCCATGGATAAAGTAACCACCTGTCCAGTGACCTTGCAGTATATTCTTATCCCTCATATAAACTAGTACAGATATGCTTTAAATGGTAGGTTATACAGGGTGAAATTTGAGAAACCTATTAAAGACCGTCAGTACTACTGGGCCAGAGGGGATAAGACCACACAGCGAGGTCACTGACAGGTGGCTATCCCAATAACTCAGCTCTAAACTAACATAAGAAAAAGAGGATCATGGGAGACCAACAGGCACCGATTGGGGAGGCTTTCTATATAGAGGGAGCAAGTAGCTACAAGTAGGACAGTGGGGCTATAAAAAGCTTAGCTTGCAGATTATAGGATCCCCTTAATAAAAACTAATATTTGATTGAAGTTGTTAATTAGGATAAAATTCATGTGTTTTCTTTGTAAACAGTATAATTATGTTTTTCTTATGTACGTATTATTCAATTAATAAGTGAAGGGGAAAGAATAAAAACAGAAGAAAAAAAACTATGTGAAAATGTAAAAAAAAAAAAAACAAACAAAAAAAAACACCTTTTTAATAATTGTTGTTGTACTTACCGAGGGAGAACAGAAGATGAGAAGCGAAGTAATGACACTAATTATGTAACGAAGATTCATAACTTTCGAAATCAAAGCCATGGCAAATAATAGCATTCATGAAGCCTTTACTCCTCGGTACCAAAATGTCAAAGTGGGTGTTTTCTTTATTACTGGTCCTAGTTATTGAATTCTACAACCAATCAAAATAGCGCAAGTAAAATACGCATCTGGCGGAAGCATCAACCGTAGACAAACTCGGGTATGATTAATACATTGATATCAATGTACGTTTGGTATCATGTTAGGTACGGTTAAGTAAGTCTGAGTTCAAAGTACGAATTATAACCGCTGGCAATTGAGTTGCCGCATGTGTAAGTTTATGCAAAGGAATGTATTTCCGGGCAATAAAGTGATAAATCTTCGACAATGAGACAATGAGTTACATTGCGGGGTACTCTAAACCTCAGGAATCCAATTTAAAAATAGTACTACGACAATAACATATTTCTTCCATGCAAATACCAAAGGAAATCAGAGCGGTGATACATGTGTTTATGTTGTGTGATGCCATGGCAATAATGAAAACACTATTCGACGGTACGATACCACATTGCTCATAATAATAGTCCTACAAAAGAAAATAAGAGGTTTTAATCGACCATCAATGACCATGAACTCTGAGGTATAACCACTGGCAATAGAGTTACGACATTTGAAAACGTTAAGGATTTCTTTTTATATTTCATGACATTAGAGTTGAAATCTTCGATAATGAGACAATTAGTCATATTACGGAGTACTTCAGACCTCATAATATCAATTTAAAATAGCGGCCTTAATTTTCATATAATCCTCTGATTGAATCACTTCATTATTATCAAACTTCCTTAATTTTCCTTGAAGGAGAGATTTAAGAAAATCAAGATCGACAAACAAGAATAAACAAAATAGAAAAGAAATATTGAAGATCGAATGAAGTACTCATGAGTCGACAATACTTGGTGTCAGGTTATTATGACGGGGAATGTGTATTGTTGACTATTACCCTCTTCTTTTAGGAAAAGATCATGAATGAGATTTCCAGTGTTCAAATTTTAGTAACAACAAAAAATTATGAATAATAAACTACGTCTGCCACTTATTAGTTGAGTATAAAACGCATTCCATAGGACCAGACTCACAACGAAAGTACCCATCGATTTATAGCCTGGGAAGAAACATAAAGTTGTTCCATTTATTTCCTTAAAGTTCGATTCAATATTTAGTCGTGTATTTTTTGATGAGCGAGTTCCGTTTCGATGTTTATCAATT